CAAATGTGACTTAATATTTCACGGAGGGATTTTGCATTCATGAGTCTCATCAACAACAATACAATCATATATATATTATTATTATGCATCTACTATGCAAATAAATATATATATAACATAATATAATAGTGTGGACGATAATGGACTTTTACTATCTAGTCTTCCCGAGCCATAAGGAAGACTAGTTAGTCAATTCCTAGGGGTATGGCATTGAACAGTGTCAATGCACCATCTCCATGGTCTCCACCTCTTCTCATCTCTTCAATTAGTCCAATTTCAACATGTATCCTATACTAGTTGGCACGCAGGCGGCAGGCCTAAATAAAATTGGACTCGCAGGCCCATAGTAACAACAATAATAATGGACTCGCAGGTCCAAAATAATAACAATAATAACGGGCTCGCAGGTCCAAAATAATTAAGAGCTCGCAGGCCCATAAAACAACAAAAATAAAAATTAACCATTCAACACATCCATATGGTCGAGTCCATAATCGTCCACTAATAATACATTCATCACATAAATGTATACCTATATAATATCTAATATTATATGCAAATAAGTTTCAAGTTTCTAGCAATTAAGTCGTCTAAACTCTTTTAGACAAATGGATCGGAATAATTAAATAATTAATTAATCATATTAATCGATTATTTAATTAGCAGGAATATTTAATTAAAATCAAATTTTAATTAAATAACAAATTAAAGTCCAACTCTAATTCAACAATTATATGGCGGGATTATTTAATTAAAATCAAATCTTAATTAAATATCAAATTAGAGTCAAACTCTAATTTCAAAATGCAAGGCGGTTGAATTTAATTAAAATCAAATTTTAATTAAATGACAAAACTAGAGTCTAACTCTAATTCCAATATTTAGGGCAAATTTATTTAATCAAAATCATATTTCAATTAAATACCAAATTAGAGTCCAACTCTAATTCCAGGAAGAAATTTAGGGCGAGGCAATTTAATTAAAATCAAATTTTAATTAAACGTCAAATTAGAATCCAATTCTAATTTCTAAAATATCTTTGGATGAATAATTTAATTAAAATCAAATTTTAATTAAACATTAAATTAGAATCCAATTCTAACTTAAATTGAATTAAGATTTTAATTTAGGATAAAACTCCTAAATAAAATAAAATTCAATTTAGGGTCAAAGTTTAATATTTAAGTCAAAATCCAATTTTAACGAAAATATAAAATGTCGTCAATTTTAAATAAAATTTTAATTTGGGTCAAAAATTAAATTATGGGTCAAACCCATTTAATATATAATTTTAAAACTATTTTAAAATTCAAATTCAAATCCTTTTTTTTTTTTTAATTTGCAAATAGACCCAAAATTGAAATTAAAAGGTAGTCCTTCAATTACCTTAATTGCATGACAGACCCTCCATTTAAAATTGTATATTGACCCCTGGAAAGTAATTGCAGAAAGGGGCCTCCAATTATTTTAATTGCAGAGGAACCCCCGCCTCCAAACACTGTCACCCGATTTTCTGAAAACCCTAAAACCATTTTTCCATGTTTTTTTTTGTTGTTGGCCGGCGCCACCTTAATGTCCCGCGAGCGGCTCCTGCCGCTACAGCAGCGTGAAAACGCTACTCACACAGCAGCGTTTTCACGCTGCTGTGTAGGCAACAGACGCCGCTGCGATGCGCAGCGGCGACTATCGCCGCTGTTCTTCCCGTCGGCAACAGTTGTCGTTTTTCACGTTTAATTAATTTTTTTTAATTTTATTTTCAGATTCCAATGCAAAACTTGAGAGATATTAATTGCTAGAAACGAGAAAAATAATCACAATCAACGTTTGATTGTTCAATCACAAAAATCAACTTCTAACAAACACAAAGGAGACTCTGATACCACTGTTGGGAATCTACTTATACATGCACAGGAAAATTTAAAATAATTTTCGATTCCCACCAAGAATCGCCTTTGTGTTTAGATAGAAATTGTGATAAGATTGTATCTTTTCCAGATCTGCAATCCTTTTGCTTTTCTTTTCGTTCCACAACTTTGATTCGCCACCACAGCTGTCCAATTGTCCAGCCTCCAACGGTGATCCACACAGAGAATATGATTGCAGCCTCTAAGGATTTCTCTTGTGCCAGCAAGAATAATGAAAACCATTTTGGACCTCAAACCCTAGTTATGTATTTATATAAACTCAAATAGGCTCGGCTCGGTCCGGTCCAATAATTAATTAATCCAATTAATTAAACCCTGTCCGTGAATTAATTAATCCAATTAATTAATTCGAAAATATAAATAACAAATCCAATTAATTAATTTATCCAACGATTGTTAAATTAACCAATTGGCAATTTGCAATTTTCCAATTCTCTTTTGTGTGTGACCCATTAGGTTCCCGACCACGATACCTAACGACGTGAAATATTATTTTGATCTAATCAAAATTGATAAATTAAAACACCCTTTTAATTTATCGTCAATTCATATTTGCCGTCCCTGATTGACATCTAGCAATGTGTCAGGACAATACATGTGACGGGAAATGTCACGTGGTACGACAAAACCAAATTCGTTCGTTTACCGTGAAATTATAATCCGTTCGTCAATATAATCCCTTCGTTTGATTTTACTCGAGGCGAGCCCATGCCTTGAGTTTTAGCTCGCAAGCCAACTTGTCCCCTTGTTGACATTCCTAGCTGTGGTAATAACTCGATGGCTTAACTAAAATATTATATGGAGTTGGGTAGTTGGTGATTTAAAATCAATCTAAATGTTCATGATGATACTAAATATAAAGTACATTGGCTCTAATGGATTAAAATCAATTAGAATGTTTATGATGATAATAATATAAAGTATAGCGGTCATGAATGGATTTATCCTTTTTTTAATTATACATTTTTTGAATCCCATTGCTTAATAGTCATTATAGACTTTGAACAAACATGCATGAAGTAAAATGAAAATTCTCTTCTTATTTGGAGTAAAAATTTAAATTTGTTTCGAGTTTGAACTATTTAATTTTTAATTGCCTATAATTTTTTTAGTTGCTTTCAACCTCTTTTTTTTTTCTTTTTTCTTTTTTATATATATATTTTGTGATTAATAATAAGTTCTTGCAGCTTTCTTGAGAAGTTCTTCCTATTTGATGTCATCATTTGGAACAAATAATGTTATGAATGGTGATTTTTAAAAAAATGTGGGTTTAAAAAGTAGAAAAAAGTTTTAAATTTACCTATAGAATATTTTATTAAGTGGATGTGCAATTAAAAATAAGTAAATAGAAAAAAAAATTCAAATGATTGTCAAACGGAGGCATAATGTGTGTAACAACGCTATAAAGAGACATATGACCTACTGATTAATCAAGCCAACTTTAATTGGGAAGATTCATGCCAAATCAGAGCCCCATGTAGTAATTAGTTGGATTAAATAGAAGAAGAATGGAGAAAGAAGCAATGAATATTGGTAGAATAGGTGATTGTTCAAGCAAGCACGTGGAGAATATTTTCAACTCGAAATACATATCTAATATATCTCTATTCGATATTTATTTTCTCTATCTACACTTCCTGACTTAAGCATCGAACTATTTTTGTCGAGACCTCATTAGTCCCATTAGATGCTACAATTGTAGACTCAAAGTCTTAACGAGATTAGTACCACTGTTGTCAAAGCCTAGAGACAAAAAAAAAATCCTAAAAGTTATAACTAAACATATAAAGCCAAAATAGTTTTAAAAGATTTTGTAAAATGTATCTCAAGCATATTTATTTTAAGTACTAAAAAAACTATAATATTTGATCTATGACATATTTTTAATTTTTAGGTCCTCTTTGATCCATGTTATTTTCTCATTAAAATGAAAAATATGATCGTTATTCATCACATCAAGTCATCATATTTAATTTTTATCTCTTGTATAGAATTCATAACGACTATATATGTTTTTTTTTTAATTTTTACAATAATGTTGTTCAAACGGGACTTACTATTAATGTATTATTTCGTTATTGACTATATTAAACAAAACATCATATCATATTTGTTATTTGTACTCTATTAATTGTACAAAGAAAACAACTCAATAATGTGTCTTCCAATCATTTTTATTCTACTCTTTTTTTTTTTTTTATCAATTCTGGTGTTCAAAGGCTGTCCTCCTCTGACATTGTCATTTATTACGCGAGAACATTGACCGTTTGATCATCGAAGATACTAAATAAATCAAATCAATCACATCAAAATCAATCCATTTTCTTGATGAATCAATCCATTTTACAGTCAGATTGGGTTTGTGGATTTTTGACATGGGTTTGAATTTCAAAAATGCTATTTTGTCAGGTGATTTGAACATACCCAAGCCAAAATATCTCTCATACTTGGGAATTTAATGCCCAAAAAAATACCCACCCTTTTGAATGTGTGGAGTCTGGTCAGTGTCTGTACAAATGACCCTGGCAGAATAGCACAGTTCCTTTGAATTTCACCCGTTAGTGGGAACTATTGTCAATGGGTCAGGTTTTTTAGTGTTCGGGCCATGCCTTTCTGTAGCATGGCCAAACCTTTTAACATTCAAGACAAATTTACACCAATAACCCTCATTGACCACATTGACACTGAAAAAACACAAAACTCTCAAATTCCAGATTCTATATCACTACTAGTACTATACAATCAAAGGAGTTTCTACTTCATGTAGAAAGATATTAGACAGTAGGCTAGTGCAAAGTATGATATTCGTAAGCGAAAATTGCAGTCAAGGTTCCAAACCTTTCATTTATTAGTAGAATTTGCCCAAACCTTTAATTTGTGTTATCGTGAGTATCAAACATTTCAAAAATATGCAACTCAAGTCTAAAATGATGGTTTTTGTTAATTTAACCGATAGTTGACCTAATAAATTGACTTTGACCAATTTTATAAGAGGTAAAATTGTAACATTGAAATAAAATTAAAAAACAAAAAAAAACAAGAAAAACAAAAAATCAGTAGTCATTCACTGTTCATCTTCTCATGATTAAATAAAAAACAAAAATCAAACACACCACCCACCACCATCCCCTTCTTCCCCAAACCCTTTATCCCAAAACCACCGGAGGTAATCATTGGCGGCATCGCCACCTTACATCGGCCACCACTCCATCTGGATCATTCAAGCCATCGCTCCTTCTATCAAAATCTCTGACCCACAATATAAATTTCACTCTCAATTTGAACAGGTAAATGAATTGAGCATAAAAGAAGCACTGTGCATTGGGTTATGAATCTGGTGCCTATGAGTTCACTTTAACTCAATCTGGACTTGCTTATTACAATAAAGTTGTTGGGTCTGAATCCGGTGAGTCTTTCTCCTCTTCTTCTTCAATAGATAGTGGTGTTAATGGGTTATTGCTGTGGTGGTGGTGGTGGTCGCAGTGGTGTTAGTGGGTTTTTTATTTTTCTATGGTTCTGGACTGTAGCAATGATGATGTGTTTCGGTCTTTGTCGTTGTGGATAGCTACTGATGTATGGGATTTGGTGGTGATGGCAGTGGGATTGTTTCAATGTGGAGTTTGGAATATGATGGGTAAGATTTGGTAGAGGTGCAGACAAGAAAAATTGTAGACAGAACCCAGATGGATGATGTTTTATTACAAATGGACGATGGCGGTTAGGGCGGCGGCGGTCAGTGGGATGGATGGCGATTACCAAGAAGTTGGATAGGTTTTGGTTTTTGGGCTTGGGTATGTGTGGAGTGTGGGGGTGGGTGTAGGAAGGAGAAGATGAACAGTGGCTTTTGATTTTTTGTTTTTTAATTTTAATTCAAAATTACAATTTTACCCCTTATAAAATTGGTCAAAGTCAATTTATTGGGTCAACTAACAGTCAAACTCACAGAACCGTCCATTTGGATTTGAGCTGCATATTTTTAAAAGGTTTGATACTCACGATGGCACAAACTAAAGGTTTGAGAAAAGTCTACTAATAAACGAAAGGTTTAGTACCTCGGTTGCAATTTTCCCTATTCGAAATAACAAAACAGACAATCTCTACGATTTCTAAAATCATATGCTCCATGCACTCTGTAGCTCGAGCAAGAGGCCTCTTTCTCATCTTCCTCAAGAACAAGTTTTACACCGTTGTTCTTAAGGGCGTTTACTACGGACCATATCTTTGTGCTGTTCTTTGGACCTTTCTTCTCAATCTCCTTTTTCACATCAACATGGATACCTAGCCCTTGGCCCTGTTCAAGACCCTCCACTTTAAGCCTCATCGCCAACACTTCTCCCACAACTGCTGCTGCTTTCGCATTGCAAGACCGACCACATTCGAGTGAATTTTTTAGAGAATGTTCAACAGTTGATGCGGTTGCAACTATCCGTCCATTGTTCCTATCTACCACATTCGCAGTAATATATTTCAACGATATGAACAATCTCAGCACATATCTCTTCAGCAGTGTCATCCGTGAAAAATCAGTCAGTTAAAAAGATGGCAAGTAATTTATCAATCAAATGCCACCTACACGAAGTAATTTGCACATCCCAAGCTCAAAGACAACATCAAAATCTTCAACTTTATCCTGTTAATCCATTGAATAACACCTTCGAAAGAAGAAATCTCGTACATTTAATGTCATCTAATTAAAAAACCATGTAGTCAAGCTCAAAACTAGTAACAGAACTTGCATTAAAATGAACATATGCAGAATGCAAATGAAACATAAGTACATAGCTTCTAATTCCAATGCTTGTAAACAAGTGTTTAGAAGGAAGCAGAAAGAACAAAGAGATAACAAAAGTAGCAAGAAAAAGGCGTAGTACTGGCTTGAAGTATTCAAGAAGAGGGGTCTCAAAATTTCAGGAGTTCCATACATTGCAAAAGATTCGTGCTTATTGAGTTTGAAAGACTATAATTCAAAGATACGGAGCCAACTTCTATATTTCATCTTATGCTCGTTGAGCTCGAAAGACAAGAACTCAAAAGATTCGTGCTTGTTGAGCTTGAAAGACAAGAATTCAAATATGAGGAGCCAACGTTTATATCTCTTCTTTATATATTGATCATGGAAAAAGAGTCTCATGGTCTTGCTAATCTTGCTTTGACGTTATGAATTGTATCCAAATTATTTAGTCACGCATACTTTCAAAACTAAATATATACCCAAATTATAAAGATAGAAACATCAAACATATAAAGAGAAGAATGTTATAGAGGTCAAAACTACATGGTACTTCAAATTTATAGCATAAAACAATTAAATATTTGAATTAATATCCCATGGAGAATTGCCATATATCAATAATTTTCTGAAGTTCCAAATTCAAACAAGGTTAGCAATATCCACTATATACCCTCTTTCCAATTTGAAAAGTAACAAATATGTAGCATTGAAAAGCATAATCATGAAGGTAGCTGATGGAGATCGTGTTAGATATGATATTGAAGACTTGCCGAGTTCAGAATGGCCGAGTTTAAGCTGGGCTAAGTCAGAATGAACAATGGCCATATAGAATGTTAAAAAGCTCTCAAATAGAACAAACTGAAAAACTTACCAAGACACAATTAAGCCTGCTTATCCGGTGGCGAGGATGGGTGGAGATTGCTGTGCTCAAGAATGGAAGTGTTCCAGAGTTGAAGGCTAAGGAGACAACTGGTATGCTGGGTAGAATGCTGGATGTCGGGAAGCGAGGGAGGACTGAAGTAGACGCAGCTGGTATTGATAGAGGCAGCGGCGGACGAACTGGAGAAACTCACCAGCAAATGACGCCACGTATGGTCACGACGAGATGACAGTGGCGATAGTTTCCTGATGTAGTACGGCGGTAAGAATCTGCGAAATCTGTAACTTGGGTGAGGAATGGAGGCAGCGGAATCTGAAAAGTTACAGCGGCGGGTGATGGTGGCAGGGACGATGAGAATATGATAGGATGATGGTGAGGACAGAAGACGGTGGGGTGTGGATCAACCAACGAGATCACGATGGTGTATGGCTCGCCGGGACTGTAGCGCCAGCGACGGTGGTTGCGGAGTCGATCAGAGTTGGGAGTAGGGAAAATTTTGGGTCGGGCTAGGCGGGTTGCGGTTTCTTTCATGTTGTGGGTTTGGGCTGGAAAGATGTTTGTTATGGGCTAAGCTGAGCCTATGTGTGTTGCTGTTGTCAGTACTGTGAGATAGATTTGTTTATGGGTTACAAAACAATTTATGGGTTGAATTTTAAATAGAGTAAACAGGAATATGCTATTAGTACATAATGCGATATTCATAATGGTGTCCACCCCCTCGCATGAAGGAGGATCCACTTCGAAAAATGATATTTTATTTAAAATGAGTCTCCCTCTTATGTGAAGGGTGGACACCCTAATGTACGTGTAGCATCACTCGAAAAGAAAATACATAATTACAAATGTTTCAAAAATAACAAACTTATGAAATTTTTTGAAAATTTGGTGGTCATATTGTATTATCTCAAATAAAATATTGTGATTAGGAGTGAACGCAATCTGATTCGATCCGATTTTGAAAAGTATCAATTGAATATTAGAAATGGAACCATTGATTCCATATCTAACTATAGAACTAAACCAATTGATTCCAGTTCGATCCAATCCGAATTTTATATATTAAAATTATAAAAATAAAGTAAGAAATAATTATTGTATTGAAGATTGAAAAAGGTACAATATGAAACAACTAGTCATTATTGTAATGCAACAATACATAAAATCAATTAAACAATGTAACAAATAAAAGTGATAAAATATTAAACATGGCACAATTGCCCTGGATGGAAAATTATTCTTATGAAATTTCATACAAAATATATATTTAAAAAATATGTAGTATTTATAACATGATTTTCTTCCATAATCCTCAAGGAGAAGATTTTAATTCTTGATGGCCAACCCTTTGAAAACAAGAAGTAATTTGAGTTCTCACGAAAGTATTTTTATTGGGGTTGCATTAAAGTTATTAATTTGTAAAATATTTATAAAATTATTTAAATTTTGGTTACCCATTAAATTTTGCTGCGAACAAAAGAAGAAAATTTGTATTGAAAGTGAATTTTTGTTGTGAGATAATTTTGGGGTCTGGTGTTCAAAGAACTAATACATTTTGGTGTAACGCATGGCGAAAAAGAAAAATTCAAGAGAATAAGTTCTCAAGGGAATATAGAGAATCGAACCTAAATTGCCTGATTCTCGATGCATGATCCCAAAATTGATCCATTTAGTGAAGGAATCATAGCTGAATCGATTAGTTCTATCCGATTCCATCAATTTCGAGAAAAAAAATACCCACCTCTAATTGTAATTTATAATTTAATTAAACAGGTCACTATTAAAATAACATACAATTTATGATCACGATCATATATTAATCACAAATTACAAATGATCATAGTTACAAAGATGCAATTTGTGGTTACGATCACTATTTTCCAAAAATCACATATTTAACATATCGTAAATTATTTATTAATCACAAATTATTTGATTAAATGGTCACAATTATCTAATTAACCGATTACAATATTTATCCACCCACCCTACCCTACCCTACCACCATTGATATCACCAAAATCGTCCTTGCCACTTCAAATCCACCAAAACCAACACCACCACATGATGTGAAGCCACGTAACAATAATAGTTATGAAACCCACAACTGATTGGATCAAACCCAAGAAAGCCAATAAATCAAAATTTTGATTTTGATTCAGAAATATTGAACCAAGTAATCAACACAATCGTCGACAATATATTGACCTCTTGATCACAAGATTCACGAATCTCACCTCGAATTGTTTGAATGCAACAATAATATAATTCTTGATAAGTTCAAAATTTGTTTATTGAAGAATAAGGAATTGAAAGCAAAGTATGCTCAAAAAATAATCTCTCAATTGATATGAATGAAAGTTGTTTATAATATTGAATAATGAGTCATATATATAGGAAACACATAAAATCTTAGTTTAAATGAAATTAAAGTCTAAAGAATATAAAAGTTACTATAAAAATGGAGTTTTAACAAAAATAAGAGTTCGCGAAAATTGGAAATTTTCGGCCCCATTTTTATATTATGCGGCCGTATAATGTTTCCACATGTTGTCGCATAGACCAAGTGAAAAACCCACTATCGCTCTTGGGACAGAGGTATGCGACCGCATGCTTCTTTCTACTATGAACTCACATGGTAGAAATTTTTATGGTCTCCAACTGTTGCTTGCACCAAGCTGATCCATAGCGATCCCTCTTTCGAGCCCATCATGAAACTTGTTCTTTGGCATGTTAACGTCAACCTTTTGGATACCGTAGCTTGAACAAGTGATTGCATGGTTTTCTTGACTCTAATTAATCTCGAACTTACCTTTAGCCTCCACTTGGTAAACATCGAACTCTTGATAGCTCGTTGCCTTCCTTGGATCACATCATTCCCTCCCTCTTTAAAGTGTCGACCTCAAATTCGTACCTACATCAAACGAAGCAACATTAGAGACGTCGATGTTAGGAATTATAATATATTTACCTTGAAGATCCAAATTGTAGTCATTGCTTTCAATCCTTCTAATGTCGTGGAATGGTCCATCTTCTCTGGGATGAAACCCTGACCTCTTGTGTATTGCCTACACATTCAAACTTAACCACCTGATTTAAATACTTTACGTCTCTTCCGTTTGCTACCTTGAGATGTATATAATTCAATCTCCCACTTTCCATCTAAAGTACCATTTACAATAATAGTTAAAGGAATTAAATCAAACAAAGTTAATGTATTTAATTCATAAACCATATTGAAACGTGTAGTAAAAGTATTAGAGGATACAAAATTAGCTTTCCACATATTCCTTAAATTTGGTCCAAAATAGTTAAGGATTTCAATATCGAAAAATAAATTCTCATGTCTCAAATCACCAACAATGCACCGTAATTGTCTATTATGCTCAACTAAGTTTTGGCAACATACTAGAATATCATAAACTAGTAGATGATTGCTTCTAAATGCATGTAACAAATGATTGATCATTCTCATTGAAGTTTTAGACGCGTCAATATGTGTACAAGTATATGCCCCATGTGAAATACTATTTCTATGTGCTAGACCATCATCCGACCTATGTATGGGGTATTGATACTTTACCATGTTATCATTGAATGATCATCCTTCTATGCTTATCAAATTCTCCACCTGCATCGAATTAATCAGGTGGTATCCCACCAATTAAGTCTTCCCGTAGTAAAGAAATATCCAAATAGGGGAGGGGTTTGTTAGTCCTCACCAAAGTACTCTCAACCTCATTCAATTTTGCATAAAAACTCACTTTCGACTTTTCTCTCTTCTCGAAAGACTCGTTTTCTTTTCGCTTTTGTGGTTCTATTCTTTTTTGTCACTATTAGCTACTTCACTATTTTCTCTCTATTTCTTTCATTCATTTTTCTTCCTCACGTTTTAATTTAATTTGATCTTCATACACTTGTA